TCCAAGATCCCTTTTTTGGGCATTTGCAGCAACAATTGCGGTCCAGGAGACCAGATCCGTTTGAGGCATTTGCTCAAATTCCTCTGTAGCAAAATGTATTTGCCTGAGAAAACGTTAGCAAATTCCACACAATGTACGTGGCATATGACTGAAGATATCCTTGGCTTGCACTTTGGGCAAATGCTGGAATCATTGAATCCAGAAGAAAGACCTCGCATACTCGCCCGCAAGAACAAGTACCGTGCCCATGGCCGAATCGAGCGCAAAGAGGGATCACAAAGTCCCACGTCACGATGACATGGCATCCAGCGTGGCATGCCCCCATGCCAATATTATAATGGGCATATGTGGAATAATCCTGTAACGAAAGGAAATATACAAATAAAACTTGCAAAAGGAAAAATAAAATTCGATTGGCTACTTTTTACAACTAGGAAAAAAGATTTCAATTAACTAAGGAAAACTAGATTCATCGAATGAAACCCATCTCTCGCAGCAGCTTCTCGTCGTTGAGTCTAACCTTGGGGCCCTGGCAGGGATTGCAGCGGTACCGCGGCTGCGATATGCATTGGTTGTTGAAATCGTTGTACTTCATACCCTCGCCACACGTCGGGCAGGGTGGCTGGATGGAGCGCGCCACCTCCTTCTCCGCCTCACTGGGAGGGTTCCGGTGCACCGGCTTGAACCCCGACCCGGCCACTCCAGTCGGACGCCCCCGCTTCCTAGCCGGGGCCGAGACCGCGGCGTTACTAGTGCTAGCCACCTTTGCATGGCCCAAGTTCTTGGCTTTTCCCACTGGGCACCTCGGCTGCGGAGCGCATGGATTTGGGCTCCCCTGTTGCGTCATCGCGTATGGGTTTATCCCGTCTTGTTCTACCATGGTGTACGTATACTGGAGGTCGTCGACGTAGTTGGAACGCCACTGGAGAGGCTGGACGACGTAGGGCTGCGGCTGCTGCGTCTGGAGGAACTCGAGGGCGCCCGGGAGGAGGTCCGCGGCACAGCCCTGCTCGGTGCCCACTCCAAAGTCGTAGAGTACCTCGCCATCGCCAAGTTGATCTTGATCCGATGCAGGCAGTGGCGCAAGGCTCTGGTCATCGAAAAGGCCCGTCGTCCAGCAGCCCGAGACGTCGAAAGCATGATCGTTGCACAGCTCGCCTGCTAACAACACGTCCTGGCAATTCATCCTTTAAAGAACCCTAAAAGAAATATATATGTATATATAGACAATATCGCCTTTACGAATATAAAGCATCGCAAAAGGCAACCCTGGTCAAAACGTTGACGGGGCATTCCGAGAATTGAACTCGGGACCTCTCGCACCCGAAGCGAGAATCATACCACTAGACCAAATGCCCATTAATGACAAGCATCTGATTTAATGGCTGTTAAAGTCAAGCACTTCAAATAGTGTGGATAGAAGAGATAAGGGGAGGGGCCGCGCGACATGGATTCTCCTTCCAGGGATGGAATCTTGGAGATTCACTTGTAGGGCATCGCTAGGGTTCTTCGCTTAGGCGGCATTGCTTGAGATGAGCCAGGGCATGCCGTGTTTGCGCTCGTCTAATCAGCTCTATGCTCGGCCAGCGCCCACCCATGATCGGATAGCGAGGAGCCATCGAAATCTCTCGCCAGGTACCTGTAGGAAGGTCCTAGTGTTAGAATCTAGCAGCAGCAGCAGGGATTATGGAGGAGCAGTGGTGGTCTCGATCTCTAGCCGCCGCTGGAGCTGCTGGAATGGCCAGAGGATCCGAGAATTGGTTGCCAGATCGTCGTCGTCGCTGGAGGGGGAGCTCCACGGCAGCAGCGAAGCCGCGGAGGAGGATATTTCGCTCAAGAAACCGGTGAATGGGGGATTTCAAGGCATGGCCGAGGCGTTTGGGATCTCGCCAAGGACGGCCACGGCAATCACTCTGGGCATCTCGGTGGCTGCGCTCGTCGCTCCCTCCTTCATGCGTCCATTCCTCCTCGCCACCACGACGAAGGCCAAAGCTCTCACCCTCGTCACGCTGCTGTGTGGCTTCTACATGGCCTGGAACATTGGCGCCAACGACGTCGCCAACGCCATGGGCACCTCGGTTGGATCCGGCGCTCTCACTCTCCGCCAGGCCGTGCTCACCGCCTCCATCCTCGAGTTCGCCGGGGCTTTCATGGTTGGCTCTCACGTAAGCGAGACCATGCAGAAGATCTTGGTGCCCGGGACCTTTGCTGGGAACGATAGCTTGCTCTTTTCTGGGATGCTCTCATCTCTCGCCGCCGCTGGCTCCTGGCTCCAAGTAAGTTCTCCTCTCTCGTTTTGCTCATCGTTTTCTACTCTCATTTCTCTGTTAGTGAGCACTCCACTCCAAAATATATGAAACAGGTTGCCTCCTACTGTGGCTGGCCGGTGTCGACGACGCACTGCATCATCGGCTCGCTTGTTGGGTTTGGACTCGTCTATGGTGGCGTGAATGCGGTTTACTGGAAGTCCCTGGCTCGCGTCGTCTCCTCGTGGATTATCTCTCCGCTTTTGGGAGGCTTGGTCTCTTACGGTGTCTACAAGTGCATCAGAACGGTGAGTTCGACTTAGTTTGTTTGCGTTGTTCTAATTGTTGTTTTTTTTTTTTGTTTTTTTTTTCTAGTTCGTGTATAGCGCACCACATCCAGGTGTAGCAGCAGCACGAGCAGCTCCCATCGCTGTGTTTGTGGGAGTTTTAGCCTTCTCTGTCACGGCTTTACCCGTCCACGGCAGCTCTCTCGTGATGGCAGCGGAAGCCATTGGTCTCGGAGCTTTGGGAGCTCTTATCATCAACTTGATCATTCGTCGACAACTCGGTGGTCTCATCGGCGAGTTTTGCGATATCCCCGTCAAAGAGAGCTCCGCAGGTGGAGCACCAGCGGCAGCGTCACTCCGGAAGATTAGCTTCACGGACAGGATCGAAGGTCCCACGGGAACACAGCTCCAGATCGTCTACACCGTCTTTGGCTACCTCCAAGTCCTGTCAGCGTGCTTCATGTCGTTCGCTCACGGAGCCAACGACGTCGCCAACGCAATCGGCCCGATCTCTGGAGCTCTGGCAATTCTCCACGGCTCCAAGGCAGTGACCGCGGCGGTGTCGACACAGGTGCTTGCGTGGGGTGGCTTTGGGATCGTGGCCGGCCTGCTGGTGTGGGGATACAGAGTTATCGCGACCATCGGCAACAAGATCACGGAGCTGACTCCTACGAGAGGATTCGCGGCGGAGTTTGCCGCTGCCAGTGTCGTGGTTGGAGCATCGAGGCTGGGACTCCCAATCTCCGCGACTCACACTCTGGTCGGCGCTGTCATGGGTGTTGGATTCGCTAGAGGACTCAACAGTGTCCGCGGCGAGACAGTCCGGGAGATCGTCGCTTCGTGGGTGGTGACGATCCCGGTTGGAGCTCTCCTCACCGTGCTCTACACGAGTTTGTTCCGGCTCCTCGTTCCTTCCCTGGCGTGAGTGGGCGATCGAAGGGAAGAGAAAGTAAGGTGGAAGAAGAACTCCAGAGAACTCGGAAGAACATAGCGATGGAATGGAAGAATAACTCCGAAGAACCTTTTGTCAGGAATATTTACATTGAATTTATACTATGTATATTTACAAATCAAGCGATGATCTTTGGTGATGTTACAATGCCATGAAGCGTCGCTCTTCCAGATCTCGGTCCTCTTCGCGGCTCTCTTCCAGCTGAGGCTCTGGAGCCTGGAACTCCGGCGCATCCAGATCCGCCAGGTTCTTCAAATCCACCACCGACAGCTCCGTTAATCTCTTCACCACCAAGTCCGCCGCCCCGAGCTCAAACACCGGATGCGTCCCCGCCACCGCCACGCACTTCATCCGCGCGTCATGCGCCGCCTCCACGCTCGAGTTGGAGCTCCCAAACACTATACACCGCTCGGGGATGAATCCCAGCCTCTCCGCCGCGTAGAGGAACATCTCCGGATCCGGCTTGCCGCGGTACACGTCCTCCGCCGCCACCACCTCGTCGAAGAATCCCTCCATCCCCACCGCCTCGATCGCCCGCTCGGTGATCCTCCGCGGCCTCGTCGACGCCACGGAGATTGGAACCTTGTATCGCTTGAGCGCCTGGACGAAGTCCCGCGATCCGGGGAGGAGCCTGTAAGTTCCTCGTTGCATGTACTGGTAGAGATCCTCCTTGCGCTTGGCCATCCTCTTGATGTGCTGGAAATCGCGGCTCCAGCACAGGACCTCGGAGATGGCCTGCTCGTTCTTCATCCCCGCCGCGCGCTTGAGAAGGAATGCCGGCGGGAGGCTCTTGCCTTCCTCCTCCGCGATGGCCCTCCAGGCCTTTCTATCGAGGCTGAGATCCTCCTCCACGACCACGCCCTCCCACTCCATGATCACGCCCAGCCATCCACAGCCCATGCGCTCGCGCCGGAGTAGCGGATTGTTGAGCGAGGCATCGTCGGCGCGGTTCCTTGGGGACGGCGCCGCCACAAAGGATTGCTCCAGGTGCTCGCGGCGGCTGTCCCTGCTGGGCACGAACGCCTCTTGCGTGGCCGCCATTGCCATTGCTGCCGATATCACTGTAGCTCCTCTCCTTTGCTGGAACCTCTGAGGGCTAATCCCTGGGAAAGAACTCGTCGATCGGAGCCTCCCGCGCCCATGGCAAAACTCACAGGATTGAAAGGACTGTTGAGGAGGCAGCGGCGCTGGATCGCTGAGGATGATTCTGCCTGGAATTCTTCCCAGAATGGCGGCGCCTGTGAGTCCAGCAGCCATAATTCAGCAGCAATGGCAAGGCGCAGCTGGTCGCGACTAGATCTGTGCAAGGGACGCAAACACGTCTCCTCCGCGTCAAGAACCCTAAAATACGAATAAATGGAAAGATCTTTTATTTCTTGCGCTTACGTGGACCATGGGATTTGCGACAGATGGCAGCATATTTTTCCTTCCTTAACATTCCTAATCTTTATTTTATTGGGAAACGGTTAATTATTGCTTTATGGGATTCGAACCAGTGACTGGGTCTCCCCTGGCATTGCTGTGGTGCCTCTTGCATAGGTGAGACCTTTCGTTTTTCGCCGGGAAGGACGAGGATTTTGGCGGCTGCCAACCCTAGGCGCTACAGTGTCGTGTGGATCTCCCCGAGAAGCGATGCCTTCTTTTACCCTAGGTTCTGCATTGATGGCGCCAGGATCGTAAATCTCGGCGCATGGATTCCAGGGAGCTGGATCTGCCTCGGTGAAGCTGGGAAATCGATCAGAGATGAGTTTTAGCAGCAAATTTTGGGATATTTTGAGGGGCAGGGATGCATGGAGCTGGATCTAGGCTGAAAATCCAGCTGAGGCGCTGGCATTACAATTGGGGAGCACAATGTGATCGTCTTCGCACAGGGAAGCATGGATTTCAAGAATATCGGGGAGAAGTTCCTCCAGTCTGTGAAAGCTGGACGAGCTCGGAGTTTTATACTGTCTTCCTCTTCGGACAGGCCCGAGGTTTGATAAATTCGTCCAGATCTTTTGAACGACGTGTGTGGACTCTACTTTGCCAGATCCCCGCCAGGGCTGCGGCTGCTGCGGCTATTGCCAAGAGCATCGCTGCTACCCCTCCTCATGATCGTCTTTCGATCGCATCAACCTCTGGAGAGACGCCCTCGGTGTACAGTGCGAAGAAGAGAGGTGAAATTGCGGAACCTCTCGAAGAAGAGTATTTCGAAAAGGCGAGCAAAGCTTCACTGGCAAATCAGTGTTACTGAACGTTTCGATCTATTTTCCAGGACTTCGATCCGGTGAGATATCTTCTGGAGCACTTACCCGAGCAACCAACTCAAGAGTTTTTCGAAAACAAGGTTAAGTGAATACCGCTTTTTCTTTCGACAGCTCGTTCTATATAGTTGCCTTGAAACTCTTTCAGGTATCTCAAAGGATGTTGCAGCTTGATGATATAACGGAGAAACTTTCAATTCAGGTTATGGAACATCACGAAGAAATGGGTTTGTGCCAGTGTGGATCATGTTGCTGTTCTTACTGACTGTTATATGCAGTGAAAGGAATGCAAATGGTCACTGAAGTGGAGAAAGATCTACAAGTCTCAAAAATCATATGTAAGGTACTTCTCGTTGCGTAATAGTTGAACTATATTTTCTGACCGAGAAACATCTATTTTAGAATGGTCGCAGGCGTTTGTCTCTTGCAATACATGAAGTCTCTCAAGACCTTGTAGTCGCTGGAAACGTTCGGAAGAAACAGGTTCTAATGGTACGTTTTCTCTGTATTTTCTGTTGTCATACAATACTAATATGATTAACACCGAATGTCTAGGATATGCTTCCTATTCTAGAAAGAATACAACATGCAATAGACATCAAGTCCCGGCTAGACAGCACCATTGAGGAAGGCAATTACGGCAAAGTAAGCTGTTTCCACTTCAAATTTGCACTTTGATGATTAATTTCTGAATTTGAAGGCGCTACAAATGTGCTCAGAGTGTTTACAACTTCTTGAAGAAATGTCGGGGCTTGCAGCTGTGCAGGACATGAATCATAGTATCGAGGTGAGAACTGCTCTTGCACAAGTTGTAACTCATGTATAAGTGTTTTTCATTTTCACAGGAATGGTTGCAAAAAACTATTGTAAAGGTCGATGAAGTTCTACTTGATGTTTGTAGACAGTTCAACGTTGAAAAATATATGACGGTATAACTTTTTCGTCTCTTTTCACGCCGCTGATGCTTATGATTGCAGGTTATTGACGCGTATGCCATGATAGACGATATTCCAGGACTCTCTGATAAGACACAAACTTTTTATGCTCAGATCATTGTAGCAAGGACACATTCGGTCCTGAAGGAGTATCTACCTCAGGTTTATTTTGCCTACTACATTATGTATGCCTTATTTGACGTTCCTTGCACAGACAGACGAATTACAAGCAGCTCAGAGAAGGGGAAGGTGAGCAGACAGGAACTAAGGTGTCATTTAACATTCGGATATTTTTCAGATTACCATACAATGATCTATGCTTGAGATTGCCAGACACTAGTTACCGTCCCTGCCTTTTCAAACTCTGGAACTACTCTATGATATACTATGCTCTTATTTCCGAATGATGGCGTGCGATTGGAAACTTCAGGTTTGAATTGAATTTTACATGCTTCTGAACGTAGAATTTTTTACTTTTTAGACATCAGCTGTATCCAACGGTGTGCTTCACCGGAGCCGTAGCCAAGGAAGCTTGAGTCAGCCTGTTCAAGCAGCGCACCGTCATAGCTCGTCCCTGGAGTCAGGAACAAAAGACGATTCTGTCAGTGGAAGGATGCAAAATGGACCAGCATTAACTGAAGATATGCTGGATTCTAGAAACAGGCTGCGGATGGAGGTGGCACGAGCGGTTGGGAAAGGGCTAGAAAAGGGGAGGAAGACTGTCTGGGAGCTTGCTGCGCGAAGAGTATCTGCACTTCTATCTTCTGATGCGTTCTGTGCAGCTAGTGCTCATCATTTCTTACTGAACCTTGATCTGCTCAACAAGTTTATTCTTGCTGGCGAAGCCTTCAGTGGTGCCGAAGCCATACCTTTGCGAGCTAAACTGGTGAAGCAGAGCGAAAAATATTTTGGAGCTTTTCATCGGCAAAACCTCGAGGTAATTTCCCGAACTGTTTTGACGTCGCTCTGAGGTGTTTTTCCGACGGCAGGTCTTACGTATGATGCTAGAAAAGGAACCATGGCAAAGAGTTCCCTCCGGTTTTCTCAAGTCACTGAATCTAGCCGGACTTACAGGAAATGGTGCACCGATAGTTGCGTCAACCACGTCTGAGTCCATGATGCTAAAGCCTGGTGAAAAGTTGGAGGTGCAGCAGGGATTCACCGAGTGGTTAAGGAAAGGGAATCCATTTACTGAGTCGAGAATTGCAGACGTGAGCTCGGGAAAACTAGACGGTTCTCCCCACGGAAAAATGCCGAGCAATGTGACCCCTAAAGAAGAAGAAGAAGAAAACGAAGATCTTCTGGCGGATTTTATTGACGAGGACAGTCAACGTCCCGGTCGGCTGGAAACCAAATCCAATGCTGGTGATGATGAGCGAATAACATTAACCAGCTCGTCCATAAACATGCTCAGGTTTGGCGCTTGTTTGATTGAAAAATCTTGTTACGTTGTTTTTTATCTTTTGCCGGACAGGTCCATTGATAGATATGCAAGGCTCATGCAAATATTGGAGCCTATCAGTCTGGAAGTTTTCAAGGTACTAGTTTGCATACGGCGGGTGGTTTTATATCTTGTGGTTGCTTAATAGGGCCTTAGCCAAGTGTTTGAGCTCTACTTTTTTATTGTTTTCAAAACATTCGGACAACGTGATTTGTTCAGTGGGAGAGCGCCTTCTGACTCTCCTTCTGGTAAGAACACTTCTTTCAATCTGTTTCTGAAAGTACTTTTGTTTCTAGTAATTTCCGGTCGTCTCAGAGGAGCGTTGGTTAGAATCTCTCAGCAGCTGGAAGAGCAAAGGTTGAAATATGCTGCTGGGCATCCTCAACCCATGAATGCTGGAGTTTTTGAGATGTCGTCACAAGGATTGGGAGGCATGGTTTCTCCCAGCAATTTTTTCGCCATTAAGGTGTTTTTCATTTAGCAGCCACAGGTGGTTGCTAATTCATACTTACTTGACAGGAGCGTACGGTTGCGGCGGAATCGCTCATTTTTCTTGCCACGCTTATAAGAAATTCTCGTCAGCATCTTCAATCGCTACTGCATCAAAATGCTCTACCATTTGTAGACCAGTTTTTTGCCAGAACGGTATAATGACTTGAAACAACTGCTTTGGATCTGATTTGTTTCTTTTTGTCAGGTCGATGCATCCATAGACTTGAGAGAGCACGTATACAAGACAGGTGCTCGTCTTTTGCTGAATATAGGATCATATGTCGATCGTATATCCAATACAAGATGGGAGCTCAAAGAGCTTGGCATGGAGCACAACGGGTAAGACGTCTCAAAGAGCGAGGGAAGTGTTGTTAATCTGAACTCCGGATGCAGATATGTAGATTCACTTCTCGGCGAATTCAAGCAGTATACTGTGCGCTTGTCAAACGCCGGCGTCTCCAGACAGGTAAAAGCCATTACAAACTTTGTATGTTATCTGACGGCGTTTCAGGTCCATGAACTCCTCCTGCAATACGGAGTGGATATATTGGCGGAGACACTCGTGGAAGGCCTTTCGAGAGTAAGGAGGTGTAATAACGAGGGACGTGCGGTCATGTCTCTGGACCTTCAGGCATGGACATTTTGTCTTCGTTTCTTGCGAGTATTGAGCAACGCTTGCTGCAGGTTCTAATAAACGGCTTGCAACATCTTGCTCCCGCGAAACTGAAAGCAAACCTCCAGATCGTGGACGCTTACATAAAGGTCTGCTCATTTTTGGCATTTTGGACATTCTTACGAGTTGTTTTCTCGTCAGGCATTCTATCTTCCCGAAACAGAATACTTGTACTGGGCTAAATCTCATCCGGTGAGTCCATTCCTCCATCAGTATACAGTTCTCACAGTTTCTCTCTTCCTACAGGAGTACTCCAAGCAACAAATCATCAACCTCATCAACCTGGTAGCGTCCATGAACAACTGGAAGCGTAAAACAAGGACGGACTTGCTGGAAAGGATCGAAAGCGGCGATTTGTAAGCGGGAAGTTACCACCAGGGGTAACTGCAATTTTGGTGGTTTTGTATCATAGCAGGTGTGCAATTAATCAATCGGGGATCTGCATTTGCAGAGATCAACAAAAACGGCAGCTCACCTCTGTTCGGCGCTTTCTACTGCGCACCACTTTGGCAGCCGAATGGCCGACTTCTCCTGTGCAAACTCCGCCAGTGCCTTCTGCTTCTTGCTGTTACGTTGGTCCTGATCGGCGACTCTGTGATACATCTTCTGCGGCGTCAACAGGCCATTAAGTTGCTGCTGCTGCTGCCGATCGTCTCTAGTTTGGATCTCCATCCAGCGAGGGAGCTTGGTCTCCGGCTCCGGGTTACGCTTGGCCTGCACAAGCAGCAACGAGAAAACGAATTCCATCTCAGTGCTTTTGATACAAGCGACAGACCTGCGGCTGGGCACTACACTGTCGAGCAACGTGACCGGTCTCGCCACACTTGTAGCACGACGGGGTCGAGGGGGGATTGCTACACTCGCGGGCAAAGTGGCCTTCGCCACCACAGTTGTAGCACTTCTCGCCCCGGCGAGGGGTGGCGGCGGGAGCCGGGGTGGCGACCGGGGTGGCGGCGCCGTCGTTTACTTTCGGGCACTCGCGCGAGAAATGGCCTTCTTCACCGCAGCTGAAGCACTGCTTTGAGGGCCGCGGCGGCGGCGGCGGTAGTGCCGCTTGCGGAGTGGGAGTGCCGTGGTTCTTCGCGCCTGGGGTGCTATGGTTCTTCGCGGCTTGGCTCTTCGCTGCTTGGCTCTTCGCTGATTGCGTCTTGGGCGTTGGAGGGAAGGAGTTACCTCTCGTTCTCGTACAGGCCTGGATAGAGAGCATCAAAACCGGAGCTACAAAGGACAAGAGAAGAGAAAAGTTCTCACCATGCCAGAGTGACCGGTATCACCGCAGTTGTAGCACGAGGCGAGCCTCGGGGCGTCTCCCAGACCGTCCAGGCAACAAAGGTGGCCAAATTTTTTACAGACGTAGCACTGGATTGCCTGCACAGCAGCGAGCAAGATCGTGTTGTTCTTCGTATCGGAAGAGCAGTGCAAAGGTCTGTGAGTACCTCCAAGTCGGACGCTTCGTAATCTCCTCGGCACGAGCCATATCCATGGCCCGAGTTGCCACACAGCAAGCAAACGCCTTCTTCCTGCCTGGCTCCTCCTCGTCCTCGCTTGCCTTTCTCGGGGCACGCTCTCGCTTGGTGGCCGGTTTTTCCACACTTGAAGCATTGCGATTGCTGCGACCGGCCCGAAGATTTTTGCTTTGGTTTCGATGGACTTCCAAGGAGCTTACCTGGTTGCAGTGCCTTCCATCGTGAGCAAAGTCGCCACAAACGTAGCATGGCTTTGGAGCCGTGCACTCGAAAGCGAGGTGCCCGGGATCGCCACAGTTGTAGCAAGTCGCTCGCGACGCCTCGATATCTTCCGGATCATCAAAGTAACGAGGTTGACGCTACACACAAAAGAAAAAGAATGCTCGCAAAGTTATGTGAGCAAGAAAACCGAAGAACCAACAAAAACCAAAGCTCTACCAGGATCTTCCGGAATGCCAGATTCTCTGGCGGAGGATTTACTTCTTTCGTCTCAGTTGCTAGAACTGCTGGCTCATCGTCCTTCAAAAAAGAAAAAAAACGTGAAAAAAAAAGGCGATGACCTTCCGTGAATCGCAAACTTTTGCGCTCACCTTGGGCTTTCTGGCCTTGCTTCTCTTCCTCGATCTCTTCTCGGCATTGCTCTTGTCCTCCACTTCTCCCTTCCCATAATCCACACACTTGTTCCTCTTGGAAGACTTCCCATGCTTCTCTAGACCATCGTCTTCGTCCCCCTCTTCGCCGGCATCTCGCCTCTTCACTCCCTTCTCCTTGACAATCTCTAGAGCGCCATCCCTGTCTGGAGTTAGATCGGTTATCTCTTTCGACTCGTCTACTTTGCTCACATCTTCCGCCGGATCCGAGGGAGAGCTGGAGAGCTCCGCCGCGCGCTGGCTGTGCGCCTTGGACAGAGCTCCCAGAGCCTTGGACAGAATTCCCAGCGTCAAGTCCGCATTCCCCTCCTCCTCCTCCTCCTCCTCGTTCCACTCTTCGTCCTCCATCTCCGACGACCGCTCCCAAACCCTGCCCAGCTAGCGATCGCGTTTCGCGACAGCGAAACCCTAATAGTGCCGCCCAAGAACCCTAAAAGACGATGACGTGTCCCATTTCTAGGGCTCTCTCTCCAAACAATGGCGCCGACGATGACGCAGCTCAATTGCTTCTCCGAGGCGGCGGCCGCCTCGAGCAAGCCATGGATTGGAATGCCGCAGCCGGCGATCGGCTTCCTGGGAGGGAGGCTGTACCAGGTAAGAAAATCTCTAGAAATCCCTCGCAAGAGCAGGCGATTCAGCTCGATTCGCGCCGAAGTCCCTCCGCCGGAGGTTCTGGAAATCAAGCCTAGCAGTAGCGGCACTGGCAGCAGCAGCGATGAGACGATCCGGCAGTTCCTGGACAGGGATTACAAGTGGGGATTCGTCTCCAATGTGGCGTCCGAGTCCATCCCCAAGGGCCTGGACGAGAGCACTGTCCGTTTGATCTCCTCCAAGAAGAAGGAGCCCGACTGGCTCCTCCAGTTCCGCCTCAACGCCTATCGCCAGTGGCTCAAGATGGAGGAGCCAAGCTGGTCGGACAACACCTATCCCAAGATCGACTTCCAGGACTTCTGCTACTACACCGCCCCAAAGCAGAAGGAGGTGAAGCAGAGCTTGGACGAGGTGGATCCGGAGCTCCTGGAGACGTTCCGGAAGCTCGGGATCCCTCTCACGGAGCAAAAGAGGCTGGCCAACGTCGCCGTGGACGCCGTCTTTGACTCCGTCTCCATCGCCACCACGCACAGGAAAACTCTCGAGGCTGCCGGGGTGATCTTCTGCTCCATATCCGAGGCCGTCCACAGGTTCCCGGAGCTCGTGAAGAAGTACTTGGGCAGCGTGGTTCCGGTCGCGGACAACTACTATGCCGCTCTAAACTCTGCTGTGTTTAGCGATGGATCCTTCTGCTACATCCCCAAGAACACCGTCTCCCCGATGGAGATCTCGACGTACTTCCGCATCAACGCGCTGGAAACCGGGCAGTTTGAGCGGACTTTGATCATCGCCGACGAGAAGAGCTTCGTGAGCTACTTGGAGGGATGCACTGCCCCGTCCTACGATAAGAACCAGCTCCACGCAGCGGTTGTGGAGCTCTACTGTGCCGAGGGAGCCGAGATAAAGTACTCGACGGTGCAGAACTGGTACGCGGGTGACGCTCAGGGGCGAGGAGGAATCTACAACTTCGTGACGAAGCGGGGGCTGTGTGCCGGGAAGAAATCGAAGATCTCGTGGACGCAAGTCGAGACCGGGTCGGCCATCACTTGGAAGTACCCGAGCGTTATACTGCGAGGGGACGACTCGGTGGGAGAGTTTTACTCGGTGGCCGTCACCAACAACAGGCAGCAGGCGGACACGGGCACCAAGATGATCCACGTCGGGAAGAACTCGAGGAGCCGGATTGTGAGCAAGGGGATATCTGCTGGAGAGTCCCGGAACTGCTACAGGGGCCTCGTCCAGATCCAGCCCACCGCGGACAACTCGAGGAGCTTCTCGCAGTGTGACTCGATGCTCATCGGGAACAACTGCGTCGCCAATACTTATCCTTACACGCAGGTATGCAAAAGCTCCATTAGCTTTCTGCTTCTCGTGGTTTTGATCGAGGTTTCTTTCTGATCTTATCACTTCCAGGACAAGAACCCGAGTGCTCGAGTGGAGCACGAAGCCACTACGTCCAAGATCGGCGAGGACCAGCTGTTTTACTTCCAGCAGAGGGGGATCGAGCCGGAGAAGGCAGTGGCGACGATCATCGGTGGCTTTTGCCGCGAAGTTTTCAACGAGTTGCCTCTTGAGTTTGCGGCCGAGGTAAATCAGCTTATGAGCTTGAAACTGGAGAACAGTGTTGGGTAAATCACACTTGGTCCAACTACATACATGTTGTATAGATATTTACATCCATGTTCTTCTCTCAAAACAATAAACATGATGGCAAAGCTGAAATAGTCAATGTTAGTCAGCACTTTATTTGTGTGCTAGCTGATTCTCTTCTTAATTTGTGCCACGCAAATTGCAATCCAAGAAGAGTTTGAGAAGAACAAAAAACCTCTTGTAACCAAAGTTCTACGGTCACCACGTCATAGATCCTCACGACCTTGATGACAAGCTAACCACACGGGCATCCATGCGACTCTCATTTGGAGATCGCTCTTGGAAGAGAAAATCCACGTGGTCCTTACATGCCATCCATCCCCCTGCGCGAACATCACCAAGCGTTTTCACGCCGAGCCCTTCTAATTAGTGCAATTTGTTTGACCAGTAGTTGCGTACTGCTTCGTGTCGCAGCAAGTGGTCATGCTGGAGATAAAGACCCATCCTTGATGTAGACCATGTAAGCTCTAGTTTCCATGTAAAGACGCTCAAATTCATCGGCATTTAAGATTGCTCTTGCAATTCAAGTTCGAAGGGGATGTATGGATGGGCCAGCTCTTAGTGTTTGGGTCAAGGAGAGGGTGTTTCCTTTGGTAAAGCGTGATCCACAAGGTGTTCTCAAGCTTGATTGGCACAGATTGTTTGGAGTACTGGAAGTAAAAGAGTGCTCCTGGGATTTCAGAAATCAACCTTATAGGTGCAAATGAATATGGTACTATATTCTAGCAAAGAATAGATATTTGTATGTTAGATAAAAATGTTGTATCTATTGTGCATTGTTCCATGGCACTTTGCACAGCGGTTATCGCAATTCCAGTGACTGCAGAGAATTTTGGATCATATTTTTTACTAAGTGTTTTATCTCTAACACCACTGGAAGCTTGTCATCTTTATTGGTGGTCCTTGCATAGGTTCCAGGCTGCCTGTGTCGTTTAATTGTTCAGGTTATGCATGCATATTGTGTCTTAATCTGTATGACATTCTGCATTTGCAAACTCTATAAGACTTTACGCTTTTGTGGTGGAGCAGCAACAATGCAAACCACTGCTGGACTTGTCTTGAAACCATTGTTCATCATCCTCTTGATGGCCTCCAGTGGGTAATGGCAGCATTAATTTTGAAAATAGTTATCAACTTCTTTTATAATTGTTCCTGGGCTATATAGATTAAAAATGTGATTTGATGATTGATAGTCTTAGCATGTATGAGTTTTACTCTATCCACTCAGTGATCTCAGAGGACACATACAAGGTAGTCATAAATTCTCATGATACAAAATCTCGTGATAATGTAGAACAATGTGTTGATCCGTACGACACTTCAGAGAACGATGTCTAACACAATGTCAAGAGTTTGTGACAATTCACTTTGAACAAGATTAAATTGAAAATTCTTTTACATTTTACATTAATCACAACAATTGCATCAAAAGAAGATTGATTTTGGCAAGAACTTTCAATTCATAAACTTCATTGATTTTTACCTTAGCAAGAAGGTTGTACAGATCATATTTATATCTACCACCCAAAACAAAGGTAAAGTTATGCCAAGTCATTAAGTTTAAAATTCGTTGTATGTAATCAGAACATCATTACTGATGCTTGTGTACATGAAGTTGCTTAATAACCACTTAAAAATCGGGATCTTTAAACAAGAAGGCTGTATGTATATACATATTAACTCAAGTGACTCTTTAGCATTTTATTGTAAGAGCATCATTAACGTTACAACATCTCTAAAGTGTTTGGGAATTTTTTAGTATTTGATTTACCATTAGTAGAAGATTAGCCATTTTTTTTTTCTTTGTTGCTTGTTCTTCAATTATAAACAATCAACTTTGTAGTGTCCAAACATAATGATAATAACCTTATTTATAATTCTTCACAAAGAACTTTTATTTTTTCAACCCCTTTGCATCTAAAGTAGCCACCATTGACTTTAGTTTATGATGTTTGTTCTCAATCCTTGTGTCCATGATGATCATCATGATAATTCTCAGCAAAAGAACTCTTCAAATACTTATAAGATTTATGTTTGTTATTGTCAAGTTGACAAGTCACATCAAAAAGCTCTTTCAAACTTTGTAGGTTGAGAATAATGCAACTGTTGCCACATGCTCTTAATATAAAAGCTATTAATAAAGTAGGATTTGTTTTGATTTAATTTTTTTATTGGAACACAGTTAATCAAGTGAGTAATCTTCTCAATATAATCCCTAAGCATCATTTTCCCTTATTGAAAATGTCAAAGTTTCATGCAAACATTCTCTACATTATAATGAGAGGCAAAACGTAAATAAAAGTAACTTCAAACTCATCCATAATAAATACTAATGGTTTCTTATTTGCAATATGAAATTTATGAAACTAATTCCACCATCGAAGACCTATATCATGCAAAACCATTAGAATAACCACTAAAGCCTTTTCATTTGTAATTCCCCTGGTAGTTAAAAACTTCTTCATATTAGCCAATAAAGCCAAACACTCATCAATGCCATGATCATTGGAAAAAGCTAAAATTTTAAATTGATCCACTAAAGAAGTTTTACTTGGAATGCCACCCCGTCTAACCTCAAGTGCCTCAATATGCCCATACATAGTATCTATCATGCCATGTATCTCATCTTGCATCTTTTATTGATTTTAATTAAGAGTTTATAATTTATAAACAACTTTATAGCTCTGTCGGCACCATCATCAACATCACCATCAACAATAAAATTCTAACATTCATTTTGATAACTTTTCTTATACCAATGTTAGGACCTAATGCTAAAAAACAAAGATATAATCTCTCTAGACTATGTTATGCCTCTTCTTGAGGGCGCTTTAGAATGCCTTAATAAACCCTTAAATTTCCCTTTAACCCAAGTTGACTATAAAGTCAAAGTTAGCATTTAACAATTCTTCCCCTCAACAAAATTCTTGTCTCAAGGATGAGTTGTACTAATGATCACCTTTTTTGAGGAATCTTACTCAAGCTCTTGGTCTATCTTCCATAGTTGTATATCTTAAGGAGATTGTAACTTGGTTTGGCTGCAAGGTAGATACTACATCCACCAGAGACAAGGTATGGAACTTCTCCCTCTTTTCTTTTCACTCTTTCTCGATTGATCTGAACGAGCAGCACACTCCACATTCTTTCGAATCCTGTGTCGATTGATCCGCATTCCGCGTCTTAAAGAGTTCCACGTCTAGATCACCGATCGGGTAACACCTGGACGGATGCTGCACTTGCTTGCCACCAGAGCAGCTGAGCACCGATTCCTTCGGCCGGTGGGCACAGGAAGCCCACAAGGTGAGGCACACAAGGGGAGCCATCGAAGCGCCACGACGTGACTCTAGCAAGCAAGCCAACTCTCGTTTGTATAGGAAGCAAAGCTGGTCCCAAACTCCATTCAAGTATGCATCACAAATCTATGATCACAATGGTGATATTTCATCATGCAACAGTTGAAGTTTGAGACCTAGAGGATGAGACTGTGTATTAGACCGAGCCTCTACATGAAAAAAAAATAATTATGTACTTCTTGAATTTATATGACAATAAGTCTTGAAAGAAACTCCATATTTTATTTTCATATTACATTCAAATTCTAGAATTTAGATTAGTGTTTTGAAGTTAGAAGTTGGAAGGGAATGTTACTGGCAGTGGTAGTAGGCTGTAAGTCTCTCTCATGAGTGATCTCTTCTCTACATGAACACTGTATATGTGTTGTTTTAATGGTTATAATGTTATGCAAGATTGAGGAGGTTACTACTGAGGTCATGGAAGCAGCAGTGCCTACAATTTTAGACTCAAAGTGCAAGTAACTGGTTTTCCATTCTTGTGCTGTTTCTTCTTGTTTATACTGTTTTCTAGAAGATTAAGTAAAACATTATCTCAAGTATGCCTTGTAAGCCTGATTGGAAGCTTTGCTCAAGATGAAAAAGAAAACACTCTCTAGCACTGTTCAGCTTCCAGTGGAATTGGGGAAACAATCAAAACTGGAACTCATGTAGGACTATAAGAGCCTGATGAGTTTTCTATCACTGTATGGAAAATTTCCAAGTACATTTCTTTCAAAGAGTTATAGAGGGTCATGTGAAACATGTGTCTTTGAGTTCATGTATTTAAATTAACTGCTTGATAGAGTATTCATGTATTCATGTGTGCAAATGAAGATCAAAAGCTTGACAATGAACGTTGCCTATTTAAAATACACTATATATCTAAAACTTATCTCATACTAGATTATGTCTACTACGAAACATTGGTTTAGTTTGTCATCTTAAGCTGGGCTAAGCATCACTTCGAGATAGTACACTTGTCAATTAGTTGACATAAAATACTAAACGAATTTTCACCCTAGCTAGCAACCACACCTAATAAATTGCCTTACCAATATACTCCAACATTTTATATAGATCAGCATATCTATGAGAAAATTTATCATTCTTCCTATTACATAAAAGCACTAAGGTGTTCCACCGTTCACTTGATGGGAAGATCATATATATAAATGCAAGATCACCTACTTTATATTCTTGAAATTAGCTGTTTTAATTGGCAAACTTCTCAATTCTATTCTAAGCTGCCTACAAATTTTATTTACACACCACTAGAATCTCATCAAGTTTTGTGACCAAATCAATCACTTTTTAGTCAGGCTTATCTTGAACATCCATGCTCAAATGCAATCCCAACTCCACAATTATTCAGAGATGCCTTCCAAATATGGCAAAGTAAAGACTTAATTTAATTCTACTGTATTAGCTATTGTTGTAGACGAATTCCACCAATGAAATATATAAATCCCATTGTCCTTGCTTTTGATCAATACTATAGTGTAATATATCTTCCACTACTTGATTCACACACTTCATCTATATCCATTTGAGGTTGATTTCCACTGAAGAGTTTTAAAGGCACTTGCATAGTCTTTGTAAAGCTCTTCTAAATTCACTAATAAATTTTGAATTTTGATCATTAATGATGTCCTTTTCAAACTAAAATCATGAAAAACTTTCTCCAAGTAGACCATAGTTAAGTCTGAGATAATGACATTCTTTTGAAGTGCTAACAACTACACATACTTCATCAAAT